ATGAGGCGATAGTCCTGTGTTGTGCACTGATCAGACCACACCTGGAGCATCTACTGCATTTACTTGTGGGTGCTCAGTTTAAGAAGGATATTGATAGGGGCAGCTAAGTGGCACAGTGGATAGAGCACCGGCCCTGAAGTCAGGAGGACCTGAGTTCTAATCCAGCCTCAGACCAAACACTTGACACTTACTAGCTGTGTGACCCTGGGCAAGTCACTTAACCCCAACTGCCTAAAAGCAAAAAAAAAAAAAGGATATTGATAAGTTGGAGCGTCCAGAGCAAGACAACATGGATGGTTAAGGGTCTTGAGTCTATGCCCTAATATATCAATTGAAGGAATCTGAAAGGTTTAGCCTGAAAAGAAGATGGCGGTGGAGGAGGCCAACTGTACTGTACAATTTTAGGGGTGACCATGTGGAAGAGGCCCAAACTTGTTGTGCCCAAGAGCAGAACCAGGAGCAATGCCTCCAAACTGCAAAGACACCAATTTAACCTTAACATCAGGAATAAGTTCCTAACAATTAGAGCGATCCAAAGCTGACCGTCCCACTGTTAGCTGTCCAGAGACAGTGGGTTGGGTCTCGCTGAAGGTCTTCAAGCAGAGGCTGGATGGCCACGCATTAGGCACATTACATCAATCAATTACAAATATCTGTTGCCTCCCCTGTATTAGCAATGGAAGTACAATGACAAAAAACAAAATATTCCATGACCTCAAGGACCTCTGTTCTCTTCGGACGACATGCACACATATGGAACCACTAGCGACTGGGAGATCAGGAAAGACTTCCTTGTAGAGGTTTATCTTCCCTGCTATGAGGAGAGGCTGGGGCTGCTGGAATGTGAGTTCTAGAGATCTCAGCTGCAGTCAGACTAATGCCAATGGGGTGTCAAGTCTCGCACCACTACGGTGAGCCCCCCAGAGCCAAACAGCAGTGGGCTCAGGCTCATGTGTCTCAAAAACAGGAAAACAAAAAAACTTTGGCAGCCATGTGGAAGACAGACTGAAGAGGGGTAAGACTTTAGGCCGTGGGGATTCCTTTCCATGTCTGGGTTGGACTAAGGCACCATTGAAGTTCCTCCCAACTACACAATTATGTGATTCCGTGATTCTATTTGGTAAATAACATAAGGAAAATTGAGAAAGTAGCAGATCTTCCTCAAGCACAATTTGCCCAAAAAAGAAGTCTGTCATTACACAACACTGCTGACATGAGATAAGAATGAACACTTATTGGTGGGGAAATCACCACTGAGTAATATTTCAAAAAATTCTATTAATTCTTGTAGTTGATTTTTTTTTTAGCCAATTGTCAATGACTACCAAGAAGTGAAGGCCACCAGGCCCCCTCAATTGGAGGGAGCAGCATTTGTCGCCAATCTGACTACATCCCATCCCATCTCACTTGTGCTGGTTAAGAGTCTAAAGTGGCTAATTTTACTACTTTGGGCAACAGGAAAACACTAATAAAGTAGGTATTGTCCCTCCTCTCCTCTGCTTGTCACAGAGCTTGGGGCAATTTTAAAAGCTCAAGAGCCTACATTTGTCCAATGATATGATAATGCTAGAAAGACAGGCACACCCACACACACACAAAATTCACTAACAACTCAGGTTTACAAAACAGACTTGCAGAATCTTGCTCACAGGTTAAAGGCCCTTCACTTGTCATCTAGGCCAATCTGTATCTGGACTGCCTCAAGAAAGACATAATGTCTAGGACAAGGAAGGTGACAGTTCTCTTGGTCAAATCATATCATCAGTACCCTGGAGAGAGAGAGAGGAGGGAGGTGGTGTGAGGGAGCAGAGAGTAAGTGAGGGTGAAGGAATGACTGCACGTGTATAATCTGTATCAAACTGCTTGCCTTCTCAAGGAGTGGGGAGGAGGGAGAGAATTTGTAACTCAAATTTTTTTTAAAAATGTTAAAGATCGTTATTACATGTAATTGGAAAAAATATTAAAATTTTCACCTAAAAACAAACAAGAGGTGGAGGAAGGAAGGTAAAAGAGAAGAGGTGGAAGGAGGGAAGAAGTGAAGAAGACTATCGGGGACAATGGCCAGGATAGTGAAGGACCTTGAGATCAAAGCATAAGGACTGGCTAAAGTAACTGCAGATGTTTACAGTGGAGAAGAATTAGGGGACACAACAGTTACCAACAAGTTCTGGAAGATCTATCACATGGAAAGAAGATCGGACTTGTTCTGCTTGGCTTTAGCAGACAGAACTGGGAGCAGTGGGTGGGAGTTTCAGGTCAACATAACAACACAACCATTTTCCTGGCAGATCTAATTGTCAGAAAGGGGAAGAAAGCACATCAATAAAGCGGCTCACGATGCACAGAAGAAACCCTAAGCAGGTTCAGAAGATGACAGTGCCATGCGGGACCACTCTGTACGCTTAAGAAAAAAAACCCTAATGAGATTTGGAGTTTCACGAATGATCTTGGCAGATGGAAAAGGCTGTGATGGTGGGTGTTTATCAAGTTCAGAATAGAAACAAAATTAAAAATTAAACAAAGCAATGAGACGTGCCACTGCAAGCATCTAAGACTCAGAGCCAACATCTCCAGACTCTACCTCTCATTCTCCATTCAACATTTCACATGTACTGATCAATGTTTTGTCTTTTTAACTTAGTCTCTGCATTTCTAAAATAATTGAACGTGGCTATTTGTCTCCACTGGCTATCCAGCAACTAATAGCCTTTCCCTAGCAGGGCTTTCTTTGCTGCTATGGGGAAGCTCAGAATTAGCTCAAGGCTTTGGACAGCTTCAATGGTAATACATGACTCTACGAGGAGTTCTCAGGAGATTGCCAAGGGAGAGTCCTCGAGGGAGGAGGGGAAGGTTTGGGGCCACCACCAGCTGTGGCTGCCACTGATGGACAGGGGGGTTTGCCCTTTAAAACCTGGCCTTCTAGAATCCCCAGTGACCTCTACCCTGTGAGGAGACAACCGAGGAGAATCTGAGTGCCCCCAAAACCTTACTGCTCAAAAATGCCCTTTTAATGGCTTGGTAGAAGGCAATGTTTCAGTCTTAAGTAAAAACTCTCAGTTATTCACCTATTTGTCATGTGCTGAATATAGTAAACTGCAACTAATTTAACCTATGACAAAATGACATGTCAGTCATAGGAATTTGCAGAATCTCAGCTCGAGAGCTAGAAGAGAGAGCAAAGGCCATTTAATCCAACCCTCTTACCTTCCAGATCAGGAAACTGAGGCCCAGGACCATTAAGAGACACACCCAAGACCACCTAGGTTTATGTTTCCAGGTAGGATTTGAACTTGGACCCTCTGACTCCAGAACAAGTGCTCCTTCCAGCAAACAACATCAGCCTTCTATCTGCCAATGAAGTCGCACGTTAAGTTAATAGCAAAGTTCAGCTGAACAGATCATTGCCACTAAGGTGCATCTTGAATGGACTTTCCTTGGCATGAAAACATCTGATAAGCTCAAGTTCTTTCAAGGCTTTTTTTAAACAACCTGTTGTTAGTAAGCTACACCAAACGTCCATGCAGCGTCTTTAAAGCACGCCTCCCTAGATCAGACCATCGCTACTCAGCCAAGTCCCATGGCATGCATGCACAAGGGCTCTTAATAATGACTGATGAGAACAATGACTACTCCTTGTATCTACTGACTGGAACCCTGTCCCCTGAACATCAGTCCGGCTCACTGCTAAGCAGAAGAATGGAGTTGGAGAGTTCAGCACTCGTAACTTATTGGAAAGGTGACCAGGACTAGGAATCACGACTTTGATCTCTCAGAGCCTCGGTCTCCTCGTCTGTAAAATTAGAAGCTTGGGCCAGATCAGCCAAAGGTGTCTTTCAGATCCACATTCCACCATCCCATGATTATCGGATCTGACAAAGAAGTTAATCTACAAATACAGACGGCCTGGAATCTTCTTTAGCTGATGTCAAGTGTTTGAAGATACAATACTTCTACTACTGGGGTCATTTTTCAGGAAAAGTGGTTACTTGCATTTTGCTCTAAAAGAAAGTATTCATATTTTACAAAGCGGTAGATAACGCATGTTTTAAAGAATATTTTCAGTTTTTCTGTAATTACTCTAAAACAAAATATAAGAATTAGAAAAGAAAACAAGCTCATTCTGAAACTAATAAGGAAGTAATTATCAACTCGTACTCTCATTTCATCTTTTTGTGTTTATGTATCCAGTTATAAAGCATAGAAATTATGTGACGACGATCTTTAAGATCAACACTTCTTAATACACCTTAAAAGCAGAATATGTGGAGTTTGGTGGGAAAGGGCCATCTAGTATATTTTAGTAATTTACAACTATAACAACAACAACGATAGCAGAATGTACAACCACCTATTTATATGCCAGGTGCTTTACAAATAATTATCTCATTTGATTCTCACAACAACTCTGGGAGGTAGGTGTTATTATTATCATCCCCATTTTCCAGTTGAGGAAACTGAGGCCGGTGGGGGTGAAGTGACAGGCCCAGCTACTAAGTGTCAGAGGATGGGCTTAAACACAGAGCACTGGGACTCCAGACCCGGCGCTCTGCGCACTGTGGCGACCCTCATGGCCTTCGCTGTACAGATGGCAGGAAGAAAACGTCCAATCATACTTTGTGATAAGTAAGTGGCCGAATCGACTTAACCTCTGTGGCCCTTTTCCCAAGGATCAAGCGACTCAGCGGGTGTAAGGCTCTAGATCAAGGTGCACCAGGATAATAGCAGTCTTCCATTCTGCATATGTGCACTCACTAGGCATTTAAAACATCTTACACATTTGGAGGAAAAGTCATTGGGGAACCTCGAGAATGGTGACCGCCATATTTTTGCAATGTGCACTGATCTATTATACTACTATTTAAGTTTTGCTCACCTGTCTGAAGGATTACATTAGTAAAATGACATTGCAGCAGGTAGTAAAACCTTTTTCACGGCTAAAAGTCACTACATTGACATCCCTTTGTTCTTTAATATTTAAAAACCATACTGAGAAAAAGAGCAATGCTCTATTCCTTATTTTTATTTATAAAGTAGTTATTAGTACAATTTACACTTATTAAATACTTGTCATTTAAAATTCACCTGTCATATTGTTAAACTATTGCTCATTAGCTATGTCCATGTTATTTTTTTGAGTGACTATCATTTTCAACTCAGTTAAAAAAGTCGAAAGGAGAACTGCAAATCAGGTATATAGTTCATAATCTTTGGAGCAAAGAGCTAAGACAATGCAATTACAAATCTTATTTACACTGATGAAATTGTACCTTGAGCGGCTAGAAATACACCTGTAACTATGTTAAAGTTTCTGCATTTATTTGGCATTGAAAACTGCCAAAGATTTCTGCTGCAAAGCCAGTAAAACAAAAAATCCACACACACAAATATGAATTGCCACAAAATGATACAGAAATAATAATTTAAAAAATACAAACCCTTTTATATTTGGAACAAAATATAGGAAATTTTACTGCAAATTTGTATATTCATTATAGGTATGATTTCATTTTAGTTATTGGAGTTTTTCTAAATACCAATGTTATAATTTTATAATTTGTACTTTTCATTATACTTCAAATGTAACTTATTATGTATTAATGAAAACCTGAATCATTTGGGCATTTAATGAAATGGTTTTGAGGTACTTCTAAAACTTATTTGATAGTAACATAAAACACCTTTCAGCAGCTATCTGACAAGTGGTCAGTTTTGAGTAATACTGTATTTTTCTTTTAACTTCCTCTAACGCTGTTTGTCACCACTTAGCCCTTCAGAAACTACTTAAGGAAGAATGGTCTTTAAGTGCCGTTGTGTGTGTGTGTGTGTGTGTGTGTGTGTGTGTGTGTGTGTGTGTGGTGTGTGTGTGGGTGTGGGTGAGATTCACTGGCCATTCGGATATAGAGAAATTCGAGACCTATACTTTGCTAAACTTTTTAATAGAGTCAGTGTTTTCTACAGAAGAAACACTGTGGTACCTGTTCTTAGTCTTACTAAAATTTTATCTTGTACAAAAATATATTGAGAATTTTTCACAGTTTGTCTCCTCCTACTTAGGGCAAATTGGATTGTTCCAGCAGAATGTAAACTCCCCGAGGGCAGGCAGGCAAAGACTGTCGTTTCTTTTTGGTTTTTGTATCACTTGCAGCCTAGTGAAGTCCCCGGGTTCAGTGTTTAATAAATTCTTGTTGAAATGCCATCTAAGTATTCACCATGAGGTCTGCACTGATTACAAGTCTAATCATGTTCACTGAACCTTCCCAAAATAATTCAGCACATTAACTCATGTGATGTCAAGAAAGAAAGGAATGAAGTATTTTTATAAAAATCTCAAATAGCTCACTTACCAAAGTAACTTGACCTATAAAAACCAATAGTAGAGGTTATTTTTAAAGTATAATACTCTTACAACAAACACAATAGTTTCAATATGCAATCCCAAAATTTTAGTTTTTCAAAACATACAGAATGAATAATAAATATGGCCATGTTTAGCTCTGTCATAATAATGAAATAATTGCTAGTCAACCCTGTATTTTAATTAGCTAATTACTTAAAAATTCCAACTGTCATATTAAAATGACTTTCAGAAAAACAGGACATCCCAAAATTTCAAATTTGAGCTGACAAAAAAAATTGGAGGGCAATGTGTTAATCAAAAATAGATCTGTGAAAAACCTACATAAAATATAATTTTATGCAAATTTCTTTTTCTTATGAAAAGAGGCACTTAGTGTATACAACTGAAGTTTCAGTATAATAAACATCCTATGGACTTTCCTATTATGCAGAAGGCATTTTTTACAATTTCATCACAAAAATACAATTTTTTTAGAGCAGTCAGTTGAGATGTAGTGCTGATCTATAATCTACAGTTTGTATTAAAAAAAAACAACAACTCACAACTCTTCGGAAATCACAAAAACAATACTGAGTCAATATTTCTGTGCCGCCAAGGCCATTCCAAATGACAAAACCAGCGCTTCCAAATAAAACTTTTAAAAATTGGTCCGAAGTTTTTTGTTCTCTTCTCGCAGCCTCTCAATTTCAGCTACTAAACTTTCATTGACTGAGTACCTTTCAAGCAAGGAGTGCATTTCATTCTAGGAGGGAACAAAATCAATAGTGAAACTTGATTTGGCAATCTGCGCTTTCAGTTGGTAATTTTTCCCATCATGATCCCCTCTTTCAAATGGCTAATAAGAGCTCTTCTCCTGTACTCAAGTTGCCCTTTGTACATCATGTTAAAAGAAATGCAACTGAAACTGCTGGGATTCCTATAAATCTAGGAGCTTTTGTGGGCATATCCTTCTAAAGGATGAATATATAAAAAAAAAACAGACTTATTTAACTAGGTTCCCATATTCATTTCTTTCATTCCACATATACAGTTAGTTAAAAAAAATATAACTGGTCAATTAAAACCCATTTATTCACTTTGCTCCTATTATTCCTTATTTAAGTAGCTTAGCAACTAGATTTAACAGTGAAGTAAAAAATAGCTCGAGATGCCCTCTCGACAGACTTGCTAACTTTCCAGCTGCTCAGAGTACATTTTTATACACCACTTGCAGTACATACCAATTGCATATGGAACTGTTTAATCATCTCCACTTGCAAATTTACAATGTCACGATGACATGCTTCCCTAGGAAAACAAGAACAAAGAACATCACAACACAGGAAAGTCAATCCATCATATCTTAAAAAGTTACCTACCAACTTCTTTTCTTCATGCCATTTTTCATGGTATTCACTTTTGGTTCAAAGGCATTTCACTGCATTAATTCCTACAGGATTGTCGATGAGTTAATTCAAAAAAATGTATGATCTCTGGTACAGTGGTGGGGAGGGGCATCAATCAGGAGAATAAATGCTTTTGGAAGTATTCCACAAAGCAGACTTTAGACTCCTCTGTGGTGGAATTCTCAGTACAAATCACCACTGTGAAAATTCTATATGTGTCTAACTATAGATCTATATTAATTCACCCAGTGGCCCAAGGTCAGATAATAAACAGGAGTAATAAAGCTAACCTAATTTGGCCTGTTTATCTCTATATTTTAGAAGTATGTTCCACATGGATTCATTTAACAAATACTTGTGAACTGTATGGAATTACTATGCTAAATAAATACAAATAAGAACACAGCCCTAGTCCCTACCCTCAAGAGGCCTGGCTGAAATCATGTGTATGTGAGTATGTGTGTATGAGTACATGCATATGACCATGAGGGAGAGGCAGAGACAGTGTCAGAATAAGAGGTTTGAACATATGCCATACTACAAAGCAATCTACAACAAACACCATAAGAAAGCAACACAGTGTTAACAGGGGATTCTGAGAAGGGAAAAAATAATTTCTGCTTAGAGTAATCAGATTAAGTAGGAATTCGTTTGGTGGAAATGGAGAGGACAGAGTTTCTACCGAGTTGTTCCTGAATCAGTTTTTATTTATATTTCTTAAACCAATGAAGAAAGAGAGAGATCACCGTGACTTGCTCATCTACTTCCTACCTCTTATCTCATAACCCAAGCACAGTAAACTGGAGGCATGTGGGGAAGAACCTGACAAGAGTTAGATGAAAACCACCTTGGCCTCTCATGCTGAATTAAAGCAAAAATTCTCTCTCCTACAATTCCTTTCTTCCTACCACTCAGGGCCTCAGCGCACATTTAAGTTTCCTCTCTGAGCAAAACCCCACATTGCTACCACCTCCCACCCCTACAGATGCCATTTTTCCCCACATTCCAAAACTGCGTCTCATGTCTCCCCTCAGGCTCCAAAAAAAAAAAAAATTAACACCTGGCTCTAAGAAACTGGAAGGGTAAACTGATGCCACATATTATGACTGTAGAGATACTTCTGTTGTATAAAAATTAAAATAATTATTTTCAATTATATGAATGGCTTATACTTATTTATATTCAATTTCCATGCGGCACACTAACAATAATACATATCATTAAAAGTGGGTCAGATTAAGTGCTTTAAGTTACTTAATTTCAACAAGTTAAAATCTTCATAGTTTATTTTTCAATCAACAGGGCTGCCCACTCACAATTATTAAAAAGGTGAAAACAGGAAGGTAGAAATGAGAGAGCTTAGGAAAATGGATATCAGTTCAAAGTAATTGAGTTAAATTATTTTTTGGGCAAAAGACTGTAAAAGAAAATGATATAAATCAATCAACTGATGATGAAATCGACTACGGTGAACTGACACACAAAATTGGAATTTCTGCTAGGTATATTAAGAATATATAAACTGCAACTAGGAGGCGGTCAAAGGTCTTTACAACTTTTCAGTATCCACAGGACGTCTCAACTGTATCAATGGTCCTGAGATGTTCTAACTGCACCAATACCATTCCCATCACCACGTTCCTGGCATCACAGATGATTTTAGAAAATGTCATGACAGTCATTTGACTTCGAGCATCTACTTCAGGAAATCCTGGACTAGAGAGAGATGACCTCGAAGAGTCCCTCACTATCAACAAAATGTGCCGAGTACATAATTTAATATCACTTTGATCTTTTGCCCAAGGCAGGATGGTGAGGGAGGGAAGGGGGAAGGGGGAAGAATGTACATTTAGTTATCCAATACTGATGCAAAGGAAAACATTACTGAATTTGAACAAGATTTTTTTTCTAATAAAAAAAGCAACTGGCCAATAACCATAAATAAAAGGAAATTGTCAGCCTTAGAAATTTTTGTTTAAACAAAAAACAAACTTTAGGCTGACCAATCAACATGTATTTGGTGACACCATGACGATAAATGTTTTTTACCTTTCTCAGAATCTAAGCACAGTGCCTGGCACTCTTCATAAAGGCTTTTTGACTAACAATAAAACAGTCCCTACCCTCAAGAAGCTTACATTCCATCACAAGAGAATATATATATATATATATATATATATATATACACACACACACACACACACACACACATACATAAATATAGGAAAATACAGTCAAAATAACTACAAAGTCACATTTTCTCCTGGGGGGTTGTGAAAGCACTAGCAGCTGAGGGATTCAGAAAACATTTCACATAAAAGGACTCACTTAAGCAGAGTTTTGAAGGAAACAAAGAAGTCTCCAGGCAGCTCTACGTGAGGTTTCACTTGCCTCAGGGTTAATAGAGAGCAAGATTACTTATTCAAGGTAGCCACTCCTTTCTATCACACTAGCTACCCAAATGTCACCTTCCCCCTCCGCTTTCCTTTGTAGCAATATTTAAGATCTATAGACTTTTCATCTTTTTCTTTTAGAATACTCATATATCCATTATAAATGTTCTTAAGACAATACATCTCAGCAAAGGACTACCAGCTTTCTATAAATACCCTGCCAATAATAATCCATCATGGACTTTGAGAGGTGTTAAATAGCTGTGTAGGACTTTTAAAAAAAGGCAACCAACCCAGTAATTAAACAGTTTCTAATACTTGAGGGAAGACACTGAGAAGGATGTAGCACCACTTTTAACAAATTACTTTCTCAACTTTCTAGCAGTTTGAGGAAAGGCTGAGAATTAAAAGGCTAGGATCAAACAAAACTTACCCCCCAAAAAAGCTACAAGCAGATGTGTTCTATTCACAGAATACATGTCTCATAATTGCTTTTTAAAATGCATTTCCCCACTGTACAAATAAGTGGCATATTTGACAGATGATCTACAAGTCTTAAATTTAAGGGACCTTGTATAAGGGAAAACCAAAAACTACATGCTTTGTTTTTCAAATTCTGGCAACATCATTTTGTTAACAAAAGCTTCTAAACTGACAGCTTGCCTGCTAAACTGCAGCTGCCAGGTTGCCCTGAATGAAAGAGCCTTTTACTACAGGTTAATCGGTAAACGCAACAGACTGAGGTCAACATCATAACCCACTACATTTTTGCTAAAGTCTTACTGAAAAAGCACGGTCAAATTTTTTACTTCAGGACTTGAAGCAGAAACTTCAAAGTACTAGTCACTGCATTTTAGTTTTTATTTGCTTGTGCTACAAACAAAAAAACAAACAAAAAACAAGTCAAGAATAGGGAGAAAATAATTTTATTAAGTAATACCTAAAGTCATCCAGTGTGTCCTGTATCATGTTCTGGATAAAATGGATTTGAACAGATGTCAGCGGTATGTTTGATATGTTGTTTCCAATGGTATCTGCTATTTTTTCTGAAAGTGAATTGGCAACTCCGGAAGTAACAGAGGACGTTATCTTTGGGTCTAAAATAGATGAAAAACAATCAGACATTTCTCAAAAACAAAATACCTGGCAAATAAATGCTGGAAATACTAGGGAAAACAACTAAGTTTCTATTACATTTAGGAGGGAAAATGCCCCTAAAATAGATCCCAGGAACTTTCTATTATGTTTCTTTCTAACAGTCATTTATCTGTATTTATAAACTGTCAACGGACTAATGTGATAACACTTGACAAAGGGATTCATCTTAAAATTTCTATAAACTATTTCTCTATCTTACATAGAACAAACATCACAAGTTGGCTATAGCTCAACAATAAGAGAATATATGAGTAAAGATAAGTATTGCTAAGAGATAACTGGCTAAAAATGCTTTTAAAATATTAGACCAATACCCTGAAAGATAAATAAAAGTCAAAATCCAGAGGAACCTCGTATTTAGTCATAGTAAATACAGTCTATTGCTAATCGACAGTTGAATTAGTTTAGCTAACATTTTTGTTAAGATCTTTAAATGTGATTAAACTGTACATTTTTCCATTCAAAGATTTAAATGTCAAAATTTCTCTTTTTCAGAGAACTTTGTTACAGATAGATGTATGGGAGAAGTCCTAAGAGTAAGCACTAAAATGTTGTAAAAAAACATCTAATCATGAAGCAATATCTGGTGGCTAAATCTGGCGGCCTGAATCCTTGGAAGGATTCAAGCCAGATTTGTGTTATATCTAAAATTGTAGAATCTTGGGCTGGAATTGACCTTTGATATCATCTAGTCAAACCTCTTATCCACACAGGAACCTCCTCGGTGACATCCTTGATCAGCACTAATAGGCGCTCTCATAAAGTATCTCATTCCATTTTAAATAATTCTAATTTTTAGAAAAGTTTTTGGTTATTGTTTGTTTACTGAGCCCAAATTTACCTCCCTAAAACTTCAAACTATTCTTGTGCCACAAAGAAGAAATTTTACTTTTTATACAATTAGTAAGTCAGTCAACTAGCATTTATCGACGATTCCTATGTTTGCGGATCGCTATCACTGCACTCCAAGTTTTCCCTTTTCTAGACTCAACGTTTCCACTTTAAAGATTCATAGAATCTCAGAGCTGGGAGGCCCGCCCCTGAAGGAAGGCCCATTTACAACATCCCCGATGACTCATGAACCAATCTCTATTTGAAAACCTTGGGTGAAGAGAAACCTACTCAATACCTCTTCCTGAGACACTTCATTCCATGTCTGGCTATTGCTAATTGTTAGAAAGTTCAACTTTCTCATCAAAAGACTCTACAATTCCCACCCACTGATACCAGTTTTGCCTTCTGCCAAGCAGAATAAATAGAATCCCCTTTCCACAGGACAATCCTTTAAATACTTGAAGACACCTATCATGTCCCACCCTGGCCTGGAGAACAGATGTAACTTTCCCAATCCCTTCTACTATCCTTTTGTGACATGATTTCTATTCCTCAATATACCAGTCTGGAAGCACCTCTCTGCTGGACACTCTCCAGCTGATCTAGACCTCGGAAGAATTATCCCCTCCTTCCGTGTGGCCACCACACCATTTAAGAAGCTGCCAAATCGTGCTACTGTCTCACACAGAAGTTACAGTCCACTAAACATCCTAATTTGTTTCCACACAAACTGGTACATAGCCATACCTCCCACTTGTGCAGGAGATTCCTCAATCCCAGGAGAAAGACTAGACAATTATCCCTAATAAATCTCATCTTATTAGATATACCCCATTGTTCCAGTCTGTTAAGTTCTTTTTGGAACTTGACTGTCTTACACATGCTAATGATCCCTACCCTCCCTGCATTGTGTCATCGGCAAATCTGATATTTGTGACAGTTTTCAAGGTCCTCATAAACATGCTGAAATTCAAGCTTACAGCCCAGGACAGGTCCTTGGAGCACTCTGCTAGAGACCTGCCTGCAGGCTAACAGCCTATTAATGACCACTCCGTGGGGTGGTAATTCAACCAGTTGAGAATACCGTACCGCTGCCGACCTGTATTTTTCTACATTATCCTCAATGATGGCATTGGAGCCTGTCAAATGGTTTACTAAAATATAGGCACGCCAGAGTTATAGCATTCCCCTGATCTGCTAGACTAGTAATCCTATCAAGAGAGGAAATGAAATTAGTATTATGACCTTGATGAAGCTTTGTGGGATCTTAGGAATAACAAAACAAAACAAAACAAAACAATCAAAAACACTTTCCTTTCTAAATGGTCACAGTCTATCCCTTAATCAGGGCTTCTTAATCTTTTTGTGTCATGGACCTGCTTTGGCAGTCCAGTAAAGCCTATGGACTCATCAGAATAATGTTTTAAATGTATAAAATAAAATACAAAGAAAGCATAAACACACACACACACACACACACACACACGTAAATGTGTACACATACCTATACACATGTGTAAGTACATACATACATACATATATACATGTGTGTATGTGTGCATATATATACATACACACACACACACACACACACACACATACACACACACATATAGACACAGAAAACAAGTTTACAGATCTCAGGCTGAGAAGATCTTTAACAATATGTTCCAGAATTCCAGGAACTGAACTCCACCCTCTTCCCTTTTTGGAAAACTAGGAAATTTGTCAAGTATTATGACAGATTTCCCATTCTCCATTGGTAACAGCATAGTGATTATATCTTCCTGTTCTTTCAGAACTCAGGGCTGTAGTGTGTTATACTCATTAAGGATAGCTAAGTATTCTCTAATTTTCCTCTTTTATTTATGTTTCGTTTCCCTGTTCACCATCTTTTATCCTTCCCAATACAAAGACTACTCTTCTAAGAACTGAAATTAGCAAGAGTTGACCAGTTCCATCTTCTTGGTATCAACCCCTTTCACTATCCTATCCCCTGAGGGGTGGTCCTATCTCTGCCATAAAAAAGGGTTTTTTTTTATTGTTGTTCTTCTTAGCATTCATCTGCAGTCCCACTTCACCCAAAGATTTGCACTATCTTACATGAATGTCAACTTTTATGTTTGTTCTTAATTTCCTGCCCTTCCATCTTCTACCTTTTTAAAATCTGGAGCTGGACAACAAATTCCCTCTGTATCCTCAATGGTCTCTAGACTGAATACTCCTTTTCTCAATGGAATAATTCATGCCTATGCATTCAAAACCTCTGGTCTATGTGATTCTAATTCCAAGACCAACTCTTCTATGTATCAATAACTGCATGTGTCAGGTGATTTCTGCCTTTTCTGGTAAATACTGACCACTGTCTATTACTCATTCTTTCTACTGATATTTTTCCCATGTCATACTTGTTACTCTCTATAGTCATCGGGCTTAGCAGCTACCATGTGGACAGTTTCTTCTTATTTCCTCTGTTGTCTATTTAAGGTTCTCTTTTTGACTTTATGAATCTTCTGGCAAATACATATTTTAATGGCCCTTTTTAGATATACTGCATCCCCAGATAAAAGTCCAACATTCACATTCTATTTAGCTGTGGTCAAAAACCAAGTCCCTTTTTTAAGTATCATCTTCATAACCAGCTGCTCACTTCCCAAATCTAGCTTTTCTCTTCTGAATCTACCTGAGGGAGACAAGATACCTCCCTGTTGTTAAGGTCAGATCAACACATGGTCACTTTCAGTAACCACTACTTGTCTCTCCTTTATGGTCATGAACTTATGGTGGTGCCCGGGGGTTATCAATCATCATTCCTTGCAGTAGAAAAATCTGTTCTTTGCTCGGCGAGTGGAGCACTGTCCTCTCTAGGAAGAACTTCCCAATCTATTCCCCATCTCCAAGAGTTGTCTACTGTCCTTTTTCATGCCTTCCTAGCCTGTGTCCCATTCTTCCATCTTCGTAGGACCAAAGATCAAGAGCTAGAAGGGACCCCCAAGGCCATCTACTGCAACACCCTCATTTTATGACTCAGATGCTACTGAGGTCCTGGAATGTGAAGGACCTTGCACAAAGGCTCAAGGGGGGAAAGAGTCAAAGGTGCAATTTGAATCCAGGTGTTCTGATACCAGAGCCAGTGTTATTCCCACACTGTCTCCTCCAGCCTCCGGACACAGGCTAGCATCCCTCAGAGTCTTCTGCCTTCCCTTCAACAATTTTTCCCACTGATGTCACTACCTGTCACTAGTGAGCACAAGATAGCTTCTAGCAAACACTACCTCCCTTTGTAACCTTCACAATCCATCCATTTAGTAAAAACCATGAAATAACATAATTTGGGGAAAATATCTTCCTCCTTTCAACATGTTATTTCTCCGAGATGAATTTATTTCAAGCAGCTATGTACTTTTCTCATCTAGGTAAGTAAGTAGATCATTAAATAAGAGGACCTGGAATCAGGAAGACCCATTTACTAGATGACCCCAAGCCAAATCACCTAACCTCCCCCAGCTTCGACTTCTTCATTTGTAAAATGGAGACGATAAAACGAGCCTGTGCCTCATAGCATTGTTGTGAGGATCACATGAGGTAACCATGGCACTCTTCAAACATTAGTCATTATGATGAACATTAGCATCTTGCCTATCTTGGACTGAGTCTCTCTTACGTGTCTGTCCTGCTCTTTCCAGTCTGTCCTCCTAGAGAAGATAAATGAAAACTAGGAGCTGCCCAGCTCTGCCTTTTCTGTCATATGTTTACATTAAACCATCATCCCCAACAGCGATCCTCTTCCTTCCTTGTTCTGATTACTTTCCAAAGCCCTCTGATGCCCTTTGTGCCTTTCACAAGAGTCAGATCACTCCAGGCATTAGCTTTTCTGATACAGCCCTTGCAGGTCCACATTAGCTGGACTACTCATTGGTTACATGTCTCCTCTCCCAGCGGCTGAATACGTCCTCCTAAAACCTGAGCCCACTGGAGGATGCCCCATGCAGTCACAGTGGCTTCTTTGGAGTCTTGTCTCTTTCTTACCCATCAGTGTTATTCCTTTGTCTATTACTGGAATTTCACATTGTGAGATCATGTGAAATTTTTGGTAATTTGATCACTGGATATTTTTTGATAATTTTTAAACACGAAACTGTCCATCCCTTTTCCTTTCGCAGTCTCTGGTGGTGGTGTGATGCCAATCACTTTTCTTAGCTCTTCAAAGGCTGCTTTCCTATAGTCCAAGGTACATTTCTCACGATGCCCAGCATCCCCTTCCCTTCCCTTCCCTTCACTATTATAAACTCTAAGATTACAAGGGTTACCTAGTCAAGCTACAGTGACTCGTATCTGAAAAAAGGCTCTAGTGCATGAGAATCACCTTACAGAAGTTGCTGGATCCTGGAAAATGTAATGAAATAGTACAGCTATATTTGCTGATTCACATATAATGATAACTTCTTCCTGTATTCTTCCAAAAACTGAAAACAAAGTCACCTTGGGCATGTGAACTAAACCTAAATACAACCCTGGGAAATATTTAAATAAATAAAAATGTATCCTAAAAAAGAATACCACATATCCCAAACCTCTTTTCCAAACTCAGTGCTCTCTACTGTATTATCTAAATTTTCCAAGTTAATTTCTAAAATTTTTGAATCCATGTACACATAGAGAAGACATCAATAAGCAGTTTTATGCACTTACTAGCTACGGTAGCTCCACTGATTGGAGATTCGTGTGTCAAATGGCCTTGAATTTCTCTCTCTGGCCTTTCTGTTTTCTCAGGACTTCTCGTTGCATCAGAGGCTGGGGAGGTATTCAGATTTCCAGATTCAGCACCAGAGGAGATGAACTTGGCAAGCTTCAAATTTACAATAACAAGTCATTTTAGCAATACATTTGTAGCTTCCAATTTTTAAAAATATATTAATCTATGTCAACAGAGTTTTATCTTCTTTTTGGGATTGGAAAAGAAGTGGGAAAGAAAGTCAGAAAAAAAGTAGTATTTGGGCCAATTATTAAGATAAATCTTACTAGAATGTTCGAACTAGACTCACTGACCTCCTCAACAAATACAAAAACAGACTGTTTGTGACAGCCTAATAAAGAAAAATCCAGTCATCCTGAACATTTATTCCTAAATATCATTTTCAATAGAAATACTATCTGCCAAAATAGGATTCCTTGTGAGAATAAAGTATAAGTTTCACTCATCCCATAAATATCTGTTAAGCAGTTTAAGCAGCACTTTCATTCTTCTTGAACAACATGTATATTGATTGCTTCCTTCCCCTCAAGAGAGAAGCGGTGGCCTACAGGTACAGAATGATACATCTTCTATCCATGGCAGTCTCTGACAGTTTTATAAAGCCGTGTTTTTGTTGGTTTTGTTACTGTTAGAAGGAAGTTACTATGGCAGATATCACTGAAATAACTATTGGAAAATGGCTATGATATTTTAAAAAATTACACTAATAAAATATTTTAATCACCTGCTTTAACACATTTAGTATAGCTTGAGACTACAATGGTGCCCTTCACATGAATAGAAATCATATTGTAATGTGTGACTATTTAGCTACAACTCACTGGCCTTTCTGCATAATGTTTTCACTAGTGCCATCTCTTATGAAGAAGCAAGTTTTTGTAGAAAATAAAACGATTTAAGTCAAGCAGGCTAGATTCTAGTCTTGGTGCCACTGATCTGCTACACAGCTGAGTCTAAATTACTTAAATTACTTGGTATTTTACATTACAATGGATATAAGTTCCAGGTAAATAGGGGTGAAGAGTAATCTGAAATCCACTTATAAAGCACCTCGTTTTTAAAGGAATAAAGAAAATTTAGCCAATCTGAAAGCTGTGAGGTGGTACTTCAAAGTCGTTTTAATTTGCATTTCTCTAATCAATAGTGATTTAGAGCACTTTTTCATATGACTATAGATAGCTTTGGTTTCTTTGTCTGAAAATTGCCTGTTCATATTCTTTGACCGTTTATCAACTAGGGAATGACTTGTATTCTTATAAATTTGATTCAGTTCTCTACATATTTTAGAAATGAGGCCTTTATCAGATACTTGCTACAAAAATTTTCTTCACAATTTTTTGCTTTCCTTCTAATTTTGGCTCATTGGATTTGTGCAAAATTTTTCTTAACTTCACATAATCAAAATCATCCACTGTAAGTTTTGTAATGCTCTCCCTGTCTTGTTTGATCCTAAATTCTTCCCTTATCCATAGATCTGACGAGTAAACTATCCTATGCTCTTCTAATTTGCTTATGGTAAAACCATTTATGTGTCAATCATTACCCATTTTGACCTTATCTTCACATATGGCATGAGATGTTGGTCTATACCCAGTTTCTGCCATACCGTTTTCTGATTTTCCTAGTACTTTTTGTCAGATAATGAGTTTTATGTACCAAAAGCTTGGATCTTTGGGTTCATCACATACTAGATTACTATTTGCCTCCAGTCTTACACTAACTAACATCAAGTGTTACTTTAAAATTATTGAAGACTATTTTTAAAATCATGTCTAATTCCCTCAGTTATTTCAAACGCACTGAGTCAGCTTCAGACTCTCAAGAGACATCCAAAGATGGGCCTTTACCACATATTTACTGCGGCCTGCCTCACGTGACCCAGCAAGTGTGCCTCTATGCACCAACAATACCATTTCCAACAGCCTTCTAACAACAAAGTTCACTGTCCTCCATTCAGGTCATACTCCAATTCCTCATGGTGTAGTGGAGGCGACTGTGAATTCCTGAACACCCTAACACCGGTCCATAAATTCTGTCAGGTTTTACAAAGCACGAAAACCTTGGAGACAGACTCAGAGATAGATTATATGCCTGCTAGCTGAGAGGCAGCCTTGCTAATTCAGCACTAGAGGTGGGCCAGCAGGTGTTGAATCTCTTTGGCCAATGAAACCCATGAAGACTAAAGGTGCAAAAACATCTTAAACTGCATCAAGAGAGCATTAGCCAAACCTATAAAATCAAGAATCTGGTTAAGTGTTGAAATACATTACCAAACAAAAACTCAAACAAAAAACCAACCTGATGGAAATTCTCCTGCAAAGATACCTGTTTTAAGGGTTCCCTTGATTCCTGTTTTCCCAGCTGCATCTTCTTATTCTCAGTTGCTGTATCTTGACTTTCATTCTCTTCTGTAAGTGGGAATTCCATTGAGACATGAAGAGAGCTATGATGTGATCCTGGCGTGTTTGTACTTGACGGTTGTTTCCTTGTTGGAAACATCGCATTTAACTGTGGGAGAAAGTCTAGGCCTAAAAAGAAGGGAAAAGGATTTTTTTGTACATGATTGATACTATCTGTAATCTATACTCCATTCCACAAAACAACAGGTGTTTAAACAGTTGTTATAAGTAACAAGAAAAATTATTAACTTCACATAAGTCTTAATTTTTAATATAAATCTCTCATAAAAGTCTTCTATATCAAGATGGGGGGAAAGTGTTGCAAAAGTTCCTACCATCTCCTCTGGCAACAGAGTCCTCACTTGCCTTGTAGACAGCAGCATCTATAAAAAATTACACAATAAAGAAAAAAGTGAAAACAAAGCCAAGGTTCACATTCCCCTTCTTCATTATGAAGCCTCTTAAGGGAAACAAAAAAGAAAATTAGCAGAGGACAAGGAAAGGATTAGAGTTGGTACTTTCCTCTTCATTTCTTCAAGTGGCAGCTACAAGACAATTTAAAAAAAAACAACCCACAACTCTATCACGCGTGTTCATTTTCTTTCACTATCAATAACTTATTTATTTTACCTTAGATCAGACTCATTTATCAATATATACAAATGAAACTCCCTTTGGAACAAAGAAAATTTAAGCAAGACTGACCCTACTAAGCAACTGTCAGTATATGCATCATTCCATAGTCCCCCACATTTTAAAAAAAATGTACAAAGTACATTTCCTCTTTTTTCCGTGTAGGTTCATTTAAATAAGACTGGTAATGTCATACTTAAAGAAGGGTCCTAAAGGTCAGGAGAAATGTGTTCTAACCCTGACTCATTACATACCAGTGAGTAAACTTAAGAAAGTTATGGTTTCTCCAAATCTCAGTTTTATACTACCTATAAAATGGAAATAATGTTACTTGTCCTGCCCATCTCACATGGTTATTGGGAAGACCAAGAGAGATAATATGGTTTGAAATACTTCAAAATTGATTTTAAAAATGTATACAAGCATAAGACATTCTTTCATTTTTTAATTAAATTTCACTTTATTTTCAAAGACGTGCCTTTTCTCATCTTCCCATCTCTAAAACAAAAACCCCTGTTTACAAACATATATAGTCAAACAAAACAAATTCCTTTATTGGTTAGGCCCCCAAAAATGTTTTTCAATCTGCACTCTGAGTCTACCACCTGAGCAGCATGTCTTATCCTGAATGTAAGGTATTCTTTTAAACAATGTCATGTTCACTGCTGGTCTGTTCTCACCTCTATCATGTGACTCCCATGTCGTCCTATTCTGCCTGGCCCCTTTTCTTTGAGTTAAGGAAATTTGTTTTTAGTTTCTTTTTTTCCAGACTCGATGATTTCTCTTTAACACATATTTTGTAATCTCCCACCTCCCATCTGCCAAGCTATCTCCTTCCCCACATTCAAAACTCAACTCAAACAAGTCATATGGCTGAGTTGAAGCATAGGGAATATGGAAAAAAAAAACAGGTGAAATACGGCTGCAAAGGAAGGGTGGAGTTAGTTTATAGAAAGGCTTGAAAGTCATACTGTTGGTTCTGTTTGTTAGGCATTGGGCAGCCACCGAAAATTAACAGGGAGATAATGTCATAAGCTCTGTGAAGTTATGAATATCAATTTGGTTAACAAATGGGCACACAATACCTAGCAATCCTTTCATTCAATTTTAATTGAATCAAGGGGTTCTAAACCTCCTCCTCCTCTCTCCTTAAGTCATCAAAATTACCATCATGGTCTCCTAGCTCTCTCAACAGATAACCATACTTTACTGAAAAGATTAAGGCCCTCCAGTGTTAAGCTCATTATATTCAATCAACAAAAACTGAAAAATCTCTAAGTCTTCACCCATCCTTTAAGGATGAGGTAGCCCACCTATCTGAAGATACTTGTACCCTTGACCTTGTACCACTACAATTCCCTCTCTCATCTTCAATGTATCCCTCTCTAATGGTTCTTTCCCTACTGCTTGTGAACATGGTCAGGTCCTGTCATTCCCAAAGGCTAGCATTCTATATCTTCTCTCTTCCTATTAATGGTTAAACTTGCAGGAAGAGTAAGTAGGTTAACACTCAGTGCCTCGACTTCCTCACCACCTCAACCTCATGCAAATCTGGCCTCCATTCAAAGCACTCTCTTCAAGTCCATCAATGACATTTTATCCGCCAAACTGAACATCTTCACCTTCTTTCCTTCCCCAGCTTCCAGGGCAGTGTTCATGGTTTCTCTCTTTTTGTCTAATCACGCCTCTGCTTGGCAGCCCTGCTCTGGTTCATCATACCACTCTCTCCTTGTCAGTAAATGCAGGCTTGTTCCCAAGGCTCTGTCCTCAGTCATCTTTTCTCAATACTCTGATGGCTTTAATTATATCCCCTCTCTGTAGCTAACTATCAAATCTATCTATCAATTTTTTATCTCTTTCCTGGCTACGGTGCACACCCAAACGCTTGGAAATCTCTACGTGGTGACATCATACTGGTATCTCAAAATGCCTGACTGAATTTCTATCTCACCATGAAAAAAACCTTTCTTTCTTCCCAGCTTCTGGATTTCCACTATTGGCACCATTATCCCCCAAATCACCCAGGCTTAAAACCACAGTTATCTTTAATTCTTCTTTTTTTCTTCCAAGCCACATCCAGTAAGTCTTAATTGACTCCACTTTGTTGTTGTTATTGTTGTTACTGTTCTTAGGACGAGTTTAATCGAGCTACAAAAATGTCAAATGTTCTTTCGACTCAAGACCCAGCTATGGTACAAACCTTGTTAACACACTACTTGGTCATTAGAGAGGGCGAGGGAGAAGACACAGCATTCCTAATCCAGCTGCCAGGCTGCCCAAGAGCCACATTACAATGCCTTGGCCCAGGCTACTAATTAGGGTCTTGGAGTTTCAGAGCATCGTGGAGGTAGTGAGTATTTGTTTGTTCTTCTGTACGTCAAGGCAACAAGCTAGGTCAGCTTCCCCAAGGTGCCTGGCAGAAAGCAGCTCCCTTCTGCTTGGAGGAACATTCCTTACTCCTCTAGATACACAGCTTACAGCTGCGCACACTTCACTATGCTGTCTACAGGTTGAAAGGCCAGTATTCATCTCAGAGAGGTCCATAGGAAGGTGATCTGCAAAGGATCCCCTTCTCATCAATGATGAAAAGACCTCTGAGTGAAATGTATTTCGCTTTGCAGCTAGAAAGGCTGATGTCTTTGAACTGCTCATCTGACATGGCAGCTGCTGCTTTGAAGCCTGGGGCTGGATACCCAATTCGGGCATTTCACACTGACAGCAACCACTCCACAGAATTCTGACTCCAACCCTAATTTCTAACTCCACCACCTGAGGAGGTGAGCAAGTAGCAGCCCCCAACTCTACTTCTGAAATCTCTCTCACACCTGGCCTCTCCTCTCACTTGGTTTCTCCTCTACCACCTTCCTCCCTAGTCCACACCCTTACCATGAACTATAGCAACATGTCTAAAGGGGCTTCCCACCTCCAATCTCCTTCCCTTCTACATCACACAACTGCCCAAATAAATGTGCCAGAAAAGTAAAGATCTTAGTTATGACATTTCCCTAATAAGGAACCTTCCCCATGAGTTCCTCCTACCACAGGTCAACTCTCTTCAGATTGGCTTTTAAGTACTGAACTAAAAAGCTCCAATCTACCTTTCCAAACACATTTGACAACCCTCTCCCTCTTCACATACTCCACGTTCCAGCAATACTGATTACTCATGGTTCTTCCATGCAGATGACTCCCATACTGGAAACACATTGGTCTTACCCTCACTTGCTGAAATCTCACACTGCCTTTAAGGTCCAGACTTCTGCTTCTCATTCCTCCACAAATCCTTCCTTCTTCTTTTCTCTCGCTATACTTTTTTTCTTGGTGAACTCATCAGCTTCCATTGGTTTACTTATCACTTCTATGAAGATCACTCATAGATCTACATATTTAGCCCCAGTCTCTCCCCTGACCTTCAGTCCAACATCAGGAACTAAGAACTCTACATTTCAAACCAGATGTCCCAGAAGCACTTCAAATGTAACTTGTCCTACTATATTTCTCAAAAACTCTAGTCTTCTTCCCAACTCATCTTTCATAGAAATGAGGATCACCCTGAGAGTCTCCCGAGTCTGTAAGCTGGTTTTCTCACTCTTGCTTGTTCTACATATCTAACGAGTTCCAAAATGTCACCGTGCTTGCTTTACTTCTCTTGCCTCAGTGATTCAATGGCCTCCTAACTGTTCTTCCCACCTCCAATCTCTCTCTACTCTACAGACTCCGAACAGCTGCCAAAGTGCTTCTCCTCAGTGCTGCCCTCACCACATTCACTCTCCTCTTTAACACACTGCTCTACGATCAAATACAGACTCTGCCTAGCCTCTAAAACCCTTTAGAGCCTGTCTTTCCTGACTCATTATACATGACTCCCCCACTTCTGGCAGTCAACAATCCAGCCAAGCTGGCCTGCCCGCCATTCCTCACACATTCCGTACTTCTGCACTGGCCATTTCATGCCTTAAACACACTCCCTCCTCGAAAAATCCCTCTATTCCTTTAAAACGTAGTTCAAACAGTTCTCAACCTGGGATACATGAACTTGGATTTTTAAAAATATTTTGACAGCTATTTCAATGTAACTGATTTCTTTTGTAATGCCATTTCTTTTCTATTCTACATTTAAAAACATTATTCTAAGAGGTCCACAGGCTGCACCAGACTGCCCAAGGGGACCAAGAGCTAAAAAGGTTGAGAGCCCCTCTTCTATGTGAAGTCCTTCCTGATCCCTTAAACTGCTAGGACCTTCCCTCTCTCCCTAAACAACCTTCTCTATAAGTGGTATTTACTCTGTGTATACACACTGTCTCCCTTAACAGAATATAAGCTCCTTGAAGTACAGATAATTTTATTCTTTGTATTTATATCCCTTGTGTCTAGCATGGTACTGGGCACATAAGTAGGTACTACATAACAGCATGTAGTAGGCACAGTGACCGGCACATAGTAGGTGCTAAATAAATGGCACATTGTAGGCATGGTGTCTGCACACAGTAGGCACAGTGCCTGGCACACATTAATACTATATAAATGCTTATTTCCTTCCTTTTCCTTCAATGCATGTTGACTGACAAGTCACTCCTTTACACCCTTTGCCCTCCTTTACCACACGTACTCACAGCCTGTGCATTTGTGTGCATGTCATTTACGCCAATAGGGCAGTGCAGATGCACCTTTAAACATCATCTGCATAAAGTACTTAGTTGAATTCTTTGGAGTAAATGAGATTTCCAAAGAATGTAAAGGGTTGAAATAAAGAGGACCAAGGATGGACTCTTGCGGAACCATCCTCTTAAGAAATCAGGAAAAGTAATGAGATAGAAATGAGATAGAAAAGGAACAATGTGTCTTTGAAACTGGGACATCTCTGTAGCTAACAGAAATTGGTCAATACTAGGCTACAGATATGTCAAGGATGAATGGAGAAAAGCCACTGGAATTGCCAATTTGCTCATTACTGAGTGACCTATAAGAAAGTAGAGTCATTACAACCCTAGTAAGGAAGGCTAGTCTTTAAGGGGCTGAAGAATATGTGGTGGTAAGGAAATAAATGGAATCTGTAACTGAGGATTACTCTTTCCAGAGCTTTGGCAGCATATATAAGTGGAGAGAGAGGTGGGAAGGCTGTAGGCTCAGGGGAATAACAAAACTGAGGAAAGATACTTTTAGGATGACCTTTCATATACTTCAGAAATCAACAGACTAGAAAAGCAGGAAATTAAAAACAGAAAAATTAAAAGTAAAAAACTCCACAAAATCAAAAAGTGAACAATTTCTAAGGGTTTCTAGGCAAGGTGCACACTGTGTGTTCTTTGCTGCCTAATATTATAATCTCCAATAAGTCATGCACTGTGTACATCCAGGTATTTAGAACCCTAGTCAGCACACTATGGGTCTGCGGCCTCAAAAACTAATACTGCAAGTCAAACTGTATCCTTTCAAGAATTACAAACTAGAAGAACTAGATTAACCTCCAATGCTATAAAACACTGAACACTAGGCATTAACTTCTAGGCCAATATTTACAACCATGTACTTTGGTAAATAATCATCCATTTGTGCCTCAGTTTCCACATCTGGAAAATGAAGATACTGCCTCATCTGATACACCTAGAATCAAATTTAAAATCTCAGAGCTGGAAAGACCTTGAAGTCACATGATCCAGCCCATTTTCTAAGTCATACATCACTTCTACAACATCACTGACTTAAGTGATTCCAGTGATAAGCATTTCCTGAAGTAGTCCAAAAGCTGCCTCTTTCCAAGCTTTTATCCACTGGCGCTAGTTCTTCCCCTTATAACCAAGTAGACTAAACTGCAACCTCCTTTTATGTGAAAATATTTAAAATTTTTAAAGGCAAAAGAAATCACATCCCACACCCAACTTCACAAGTGTTTTCTTGTCTAAGATAAAATAACTTTGTAACTGGTTCTCAAAAACATATGAATCAACATACAATATCATAAAAGCTCTAAGAGTAGCAGAAGCACTTAGACCACTATTGTGGCTTATAGCCCACAACCATCAACTAGGGAAGCAGCTCCGTGGAGAAAGAGCCAGCCACTTCCACCAAACGCCAACCAAGGGCCAGCCACACGAGCAGGCAGGTCAGGAGAGTGGACACAGAGAGAGACCCTGAGGGAGAGAGGAGGCAGCACGGGCCAGGAAGGTTCAAGCACCATCACCACTACCAACCACATGGACAATCACTGCCCTTCAGATGAAGAGCCTTAGGAACAGCAATGTCCCCTCAAACCATCAGAACTACTTCCAGCCCATCCTCAACAGCTATCACTGTATGAAGAAATCACTGTAGAGAGAAAGTCCACCTTCCTCATCAACACCAAAAACTACTACTGATGAAGTGCCATCAACAGGCCCGGAAGTGGCATCACCACGCACACCCCGACCATCCCACAGACCGCTAGACCTCAAAGGCACCAACTGGGGAAGTCACTCTGGAGAAGAGGTCAGCCATCCCTACCAAGTGACAACCAATCGAAACACCCAGTGCAGACGTGCCAGCCTAGCTGAAGCAGCAAGGCACCCTGAGGGAGACAGAGGAGGCAATGTGGGCCAGGAGAGTTAAACTAAAACCACCACTACCACCTTGACCACCATTGTCTTCTTGGACTCTGACGGAGACAGCCTGGAACTTGAACCCAAAGGCCTCGGGAACAGCAATGCTTCCAGCCCAGTGCTCACAGCCATCACCCTGAGAAGGAATCCCTGTGCAGATGCAGTCTGGGGACTGATCCCACAGAGGTAAGAGCCATGGCTACCAGAGACCAAGAGAGTAAAGTTCTTGCTACCAAAGTCTTTGGCAACCAGAGAGTTTAACATCAGAAAGTGCTACGATGTTATCAGTGGAAAGGACATTAAAGAAGAGGTATGACCAAACATCTGGAGGGTGCACCCTAAAGACCACTGGGCCTTCTATCTGACTTGCATCTGAAACCTTCCATATGCATTGTCCCCATTAGAATGTGGGGTCCTTGAGAACAGGGACCATCTGACCATTCTATTTATATCCCTAATGCTTACTGCACAGCATAAGTGCTTAATAAATGCTTCATTCATTCATTCATTCATCACAGCTATCTTCTTCTGGACAACACTCTCTAAGACATGGTACCTGAAACTGCACAAAATATTCCCAAAGTGCTCTAGTAAGGACAAGGCAAAAAAGGACTGTCATCTCCTTCATTCTAGCCACTACAGTTCTATTAATGGAGCCAAGAAATTTAATTAACTTTTATTTTATGGTTGAGGATGAAAAACTCGGAATCAGGAAGACGTGGGTTCCCTAGGCAAATCATGTAAACTCCATTGAGCATTAGTTTCCTCAACTGTGAACCTTATAAAATTCAAATGTTACAATGTATATAAGGGGCCTTGGAAAATTTAAAGCACTTTAGAAACTCCAGTTATGATTATGATTCATCCATATTAAGTTGGTAATTCACAATATTCTAAGGGTCTTTTTGATAATAACTGAGGTATGCATGGGGCAGCTGGGTGGCAGAGTGAATAGAGCACTGAGCTTGGAACCAAGAAGACTTATCTTCTTAAGTTCAAATCTGGCATCAGACACTAACTAGCTATATGACCCAGGGTAAGACACTTAATCCTGCTTGCCTCAGTTTTCTCATCTGGAAAATGAGCTGGAGAAAGAAATGGCAAACCACGCCAGTATTTCTGCCAAGAAAACCCCACACGGGATCCTGGAGACTCAGACACAACAACAACAAGCCATAAGGTAGATTTCCCTCCCAGCCACAACTCGCATGGTCTTCTGAAGCCACGTGTGGGACTTCGTCTTTGTTTCTAAGTTGCATTTTATTAGATTTGGCAGATCATCTGCCCGGCCCAGATATTTTTTGGATCCTACAGGATTGTTCTGAGAATTGAATAACAACATATATAAAAGAGTTAAACAAATGTACAATATTCCTGGGTACCATCTACCTTTATATCACTTCACCATTTACAAATGAGTTGTGAAAAGGGGGCAAAAGCATCATTAATAGTGTTTTACACACAAGGAAAGAGAATCAGAAGGGTTCAAGTGACCTGTCTAAGGCTATGGACTAGTAAGTGATAGAGCCAGGAGTTTACTCCCTTTCTGAGACCCCAAATTCAGCACCATTTTTTTTCCTTCACAGATAATACGATACTAAAAATCAGTAGACTTAGCTAGCCATAAGAACTGGGAAGAAGCCCAACTCTGGCATTTACCATGTGACCCTAGGAAAGTCACTTCATTTTTCTGAGCCTCAGTTTCCTTATCTGGAAAGGGGGGCAATCCTTACACTACTCCTGGAACTGGTATGAGGAGAGAGCTCCAGCCAAGTGAGCTGTTGTGGTGATCTTTACTATGACCACCCACATTAGACCTTCTTGCCTCTTGATACAAGAGAGTCAGGGGTGCCTGGCTCTGCTACTCATCACCTCTGTGATCTATAGCAAATAACATCCCATCTCTGGCTCAGTTTCCTCCTCCATAAAATGAAGAGGTTGGTTTAGATGGCCTCTGAGGCTCCTCCCAGCCCTAAATCTATAATCCTAGGGATACAACAGTAATTGCATGAAAGCATTCTATTAACATTTTGTTCCAGCAAATACAACATATCAAGAAGAAAGTTGTTACAGGAATTCAGGTGTAAAAGGATCATACTAAATATTCCTTTGCCTCAATCCCTAAACCAACCAGTCTTTCACCATGTTCTAAAGGGGTGAAGAAGTGATCACTAAAGCGGCAATGAGTGCAACTTCACCCACCATCTTTACCTAGGAGGTTTTCTGAATATTATTAATAAATTTTTAAAAAGGGCTCAAAAATGTGAACATAAGACTTACCATCTCTCACTGGTGAGAAGAGGTCCCCTAAACTACTTCTCCCTCCAGAATCCTCTAAGCTGGAGAGATCAGCATTTTTCCCACATTCTGTCTCTCTAGAGGGAATGACATCTGGATTTGTGCTGCGAGGCAAGCCTGAAGAAAAAGATAATAGATATCAAACTAAGTCTTGTGCTACATGGAATTAATTAAAAAGCTGGAAAGCTGCACCTGTGTTCTAGCAGTCTGGCATGTAGTAATGACGTGGCTTCATCAAGAACATTACCACAAACGCTAGTACAAGGGAGCACAGAGGCGAGGTTCCATTTCTTCACAGCATCTTCTGAGTTCTAAAAAGGTGAGTTTTTAAGGGAGTGGAAGGTTACTCTTCCAAGGACCATCATTCTGTTTCTCCTAACCAATTCTGATGGAAATCCTGACTAGAATATGACATACCCTTCTGGGGAGGGGAGGAATGGAATACCAAATGTAATTTAACCTTTCCTTTAAGATTTGTGCCATCACTCAACATCCATTATTATCCTAGGCTGGAATACACTGATAATTCGGGTATTTAGGAACAAATGGGCTCTAAAGGGGGCTTAGAGGCCCCACTATCACAGCAGAAAGCCCAATTTTAGGGCAGGTGCTAAGAGCTGCCTGTTTTGGACCCTCAGTAATTCCCTTCTGCTTTTTCTATCTTAAGAACTATGTTCCAGAAGGTCAAAGTCGCTAAAAGATGCAGGGAATAGGTGGGAATTTACATATTATCTGAAAGGAAGGGCTTTAGTATTTTCTTAGAAGGGAAACTCAATTTTTTTCCAAGCCCTGATGCTGGACCACTAGTTTGGAGGATTATCTGATATGAAACTATGGAACCCAATTATTTATATAATTAGTGCCAGCCAGAAGCCTCCAGGAGAGCCAGGAGCCAAAAGCCAAGATTCACAAGCCTGGCCAAAACAAGGCGCCTTAAACAGCAGCATATCAACAACCTGTGAAGCTTCCAGCTTTCTGATTTTTCTGAAATTATTAGGTGAGCGACAAGAAGACCGTGAGTGAACATCTGACAAACATTTCTGGTAAATGTCCTTCTGGATGTAAGACAAAAACCTGTGCAACCAGACAATTATCACAGTGGTCAGCATTGTAGACATGCACTACAGAGATCCCAGAATATGAGGAGGCGGCTCTTTAGAAATGCCTCCCTTTTAAACAAGCCTGATAAATCTTAGGGAAAAGTTTGAACCACCTAAACCAAAGGAAGAGCTTCCAGCAGGTATTTAATAAAATCCTTTTTTTTTTAACACTAACAGAGATTGTATTATTTATCCTTTAGAATAAAAATAATTGTCTTATAAATTTCTATAAACTTTAAGGTGTATGTAACACAGACAGGGGAGGCAGGAAGGGGAGCAGGGAGGAAAAATCTCAAAGAGGTATGAGACTGATAGAAATTTCTGTTATTCATGAAACAGTATCAAATGACCGCAGGCTCTCCAAATTTAAAGGACGGCACCTCAATCAGCGTTAGTCCACCCTATGTGAAGCATGAATTCCCCAAACATTAATCTCATCCAAAAGTGGTAATTTGGTTTCTGCTTAAATATCTCCAGTAATAAGGAACTCACTACCTGCTGAGAGCAATTGTCACATGGAAATATTTCCTTGCAATTAGCAAAAATCTATCTACCTTCTGCCCAGTAACCTTAGTTCTTCCCTCAGGAGTCAAGCAGTAGAACTGTGATCTTTCTTCTACATAACGGGCATTCAAATATATGAAGATAGCTTTCATGTTCTCTCCCTCCTCCAAAGCATTCTCTTTCTAGGGTAAACACCCCTAATACCCAACTGTGTCTTTCCAGGACAGGTAGTGATCCTGCCAAGTATCATTATAATAGCAAAAGAATACCCAAGCCAAGTAGTGGTAATGATAACATTGATAATATTAACAGGAGTTGTAGCAGCAACAGCATTTTCTAAAACACTCTGAGGTTTGCAAAGCACTTTAGATGTCACCTCATTTGATCCAAATTTCCATCACGAAGCCTACTGAGTTTCATGAATACCATAAAGGATTCTTATAATTTCTAAGAATTATGCATAATTTCAAGATGGTTTACTCAAAATACTATAATACCATAATGGTTTAAACAATAAATATTTTTCTAAAAATGTTACGTGCAAACTCACTCTCAGTATAATGAGTTTAAGCGGCCGAGGGCAGGGGTGGGGAGCCTGCAGCCTTGAAGTCACATGTGGTCCTCTAGGTCCTCAAGTGTGACCCTTCGAATCCAAACTTCACAGACCAGATCTATTTAGATTCAGTCAAAGGGCTACCCTTGTGGACCTAGAGGGTCACATGTGGCCTGAGGCAGCAGGTGGTCCCCACCCCTGGCCTAGAGTCTCTGCTTCTTCACACAGACTCTAAGGTTATTCACATGACAAAGGTTATTAACTAACATGATGAGAACCGTGGCTGGGAAACACTTGTCTTCTCATTTAGAATGTCATGGTTTGCTCCTCCATTTAAAAACAAGAAATCCTCTGGAAAGAAGTGACTAATGGAGCTCGGTCACTTTTGCTCTGGCCCTGTCAGTCTTTTGGTCAAGTTGCTGAATCTCTTTGGGGGTTTAAGCTTTCTCAACAAGTTAAAAGGAGAATTAAATTACGCAACTATCAAAATCCTTCTTGGAGACAAAATTCAATAAATCTATGACTCCTCGTATCCTAGCTTATAAATATAAGGCTTTTCTTAAAGTGCTTAGTTTTGCAAACATGAGTTTTTTTTAAAGGCACATGTTAGGATAGCTATTCTAATCTAGATTATAGTAATGCTGGTCAATGACACTTGTAGACAAATAGTAAACTCTCCATTTCACCCCCAGGGTAATTACCTAATGGATATCTTTAAGCAATACCCTTAGACAGACTGAGGGGGCAGCAAGGTGTCACAGTGGCTAGAGCACTGGGCTTGGAATCAGGAAGACCTGAGTTCCAATCTGGCCTCAGATACTTACTAGCTGTGTGACCCTGGGCAAGTCACTTCATCCTGTTTGCCTCAGTTTCCTTGTCTGTCAAATGAGTTGAAGAAGGTAATGGCAAACCATTCCAGTATCTTTGCCAAGAAAACTCCAAATGGGGCCACAAAGAATCAGACACGACTGAAAACAACTGAACAACAACAATTAGATAAACTGAACTTTTTTTTACTTCCTCAGGAGTATTGTCTTTATTGAACAAGACTTCCAAAAGCTTACATTCAATAGCACTAATTTTATAATTCTTAAAAATAATTACAGTTTGCATAATAAATTAATTCCAAGTCCTGGAAAAAATGACTTAATATTATACTGGAAAAAAACAAAAATTTTTTCCTAAGTGAGCTGAAATGCAATTTCATTGGATTCTATAACGATTAATACTTTCCCCTGTATCAGGACGCATGGGGATAATACAGATATCCAGGGCCAATAAGAAATGACTACTTAGTAGTTTCTCAAAGTACTCATCACCTCAAACATATAAGTGAGAAACAACAACTCATCACATGAGAGTAAGAATGTGGTGGATGGGCTGAGAACTCCACTGTCACCCCACAATGTCAGAGGCAAGGGCCCCATGCATTGGGTAGAGTCCCTGGGGCACATTTACAGGAGGGAACTGAGAAAGAGTGCTCAGGACAGGATGAGATCCTCATCACAAGAAGCAATGTTCAAAGGGATGAGATCACAGATTTATTTGTATATTTTGAAGACTCAACACTCATTACTATCCAAGTCAACAAATATACCATCTATTTTACAATCATGAAGAAAGGCATATTCACAAACTATACAACCCATGAAGAAAATATTTTTGCTAAGCCTCTTACACTTTAAAATTAGGACAGACATATATATAAGTACTTCTATACCAGAAAGTAACTACTATTCTGGAAATGGCCTTGAGCATTGAAGGCATCAATAAATACCTGTTGAATTAGTGAAAAATGGCACCTCCATATGCTCATTTCCATACCAGCACACATTTAGGTTTTTTTCTTTTAATTAGCTGTTGGAAGTTGCTGATGTGACATATTTCTTAGTAGATACTAAAAAGGCTTCCTTCCTTCCTTTCAACAACTTAAGAGTGCAGTACCATTGTACTCTATTGCGGGCAAAAGCAAATGAAACAGTTGGTCAATACAGAAAGAAGCAAAGGAATATCATGGAAAGAAAAAGTTTATCCCAAAGATCTACCTCTAAGTAGTTAAAAAAAAATCTTCCAATGATTTTCATCTATAAAGTCATCATACTTTAAAAGGCAACTTTTCCTTCTTTCCATTTTGAAATGACAATCAGAAATAAACTATAAAGAATGCTCTACTTAACTGGGTAAGATTAAATCCATGTTTGGGGAGAATACTCCATGTTACCGCAACCTCATAAATCTTTGGTCATGCACTGTGCTGTAGTAACCTAAGCACCAAGAATTTCTGTAACCAGCATCATTCTGTCAGTTTGTAGGTAGCCAGTATTCTGTACTGTGCACACTGTTACAGTTTTTAACATCTTTAAAAAAAAAAAGAACCCTAAAACTTTTACTTAAAGTAAATATAAAACGAAAACTAAATTTACTTTAAACAAAAAAAAAATAAGAGTTCAGGGTTTCAGGGAAAATTCTGGCTATATAAATCTGATCAAAAATACTAAAAATATTAAGATACTAAAATAGCTTTACCTGATTTGTCCTGAACAGCCACCGATCCTTTGCCTTCAACTGTGGTCATGAGCTGAGATAAAACAGCAGTACCTGATAGAGGAGCTGGTTCTCTGACAATTCCAGGATTCTGAGCTGGGGTGCTGCTCACTTTACCCGTTCTTTTGTTCAAGGCAGATTTATTTGAAGAGCCTTTATTTAAACTTGACTAAGATATAATAAGGAATAATTTAAAAATTTTTGATCATTAGTACTCCAATCTAAGCAGTAACAGGCCACAAATGCCCTCATTTGTTTTTTGTTTTTGTTTTTTGCTATGGAGGTCAGAGTTCTCCCATATCAATTTCAGCATTTTTATGGCATCTGTGTGGTTTTTTTCTAAGTTACAAAGAAAAGTTTAGTTATTTTAAAAATAGAGGTTTTAGGAGGAAGACAGAATATCTGAGAATTAAATATAGAAATAAAGACAGGAATCTTAAAGATGAAGTTTATCACATGGATATTTAAAAAAACAAGACTACCATTTAAAATTTAATACACAATAACATTATTCGAATCCTATTTTAAGTCTTGAACATGAAGCTCAATCTTTCAGATTATTGTTGTGATTTTACTTAGCAAAACCGAAAATGATAAAAGGAAATTTCTCACCTTAGAAAGGGCAGAAGAACACTGAAATGTTATACACTGCACAGATGTTTTATGAGCAAGGACGGTCTTCACTGGAGAACTCAACATCCTTAAGTCATACTGATATATTTTCCCACGGGAAGATCCAATTGCCAATGTGGCTCCATCAGGCATGAAATCTACTGCAGTGAGGGGAGCCTCAGCCACTAAAGTTCTTAGTTGTCTTCATAAACGAAAAAAGACACAGGTCTATGTATAAGTGTATGCTACCGCAGCCTTCAAATATCCCTTATATCTAGAATGTCACAAGAATGTAACCCTCCAAATATGGTAGTCTAAACAAAGCAGTACTTTAGAACTGGACTGAAATATCCTCAATATATGGGCCACATATTTACTCAGAAAGGACATTTCTTACCCTATTTTCCTGTTAACTTATAGGCATGTGTTTCTGTACAAAAAATACATTCCTCATATCACTGCCCACGTCTTTGTTGAATTTATATGTTAAATCTGTAGCTGAAAGAACCAAATGAGGGCACCTAAACCATGTGCCAAATTGGCATGTATTGTCCACCCACCTTCCTTAAGTCTGCTGCCTCCCAAATCCTGTAGGCCCTGGGCTGTAGTTTCTTAAGCATCATCCTTCTCCCCCTCCCCTGGCTGTCCCCCACATTATTGCTCTACCCTTACAACCATAGCAAAGAGAGCTAGCTAGACCCTTTCTTAAGGAGAGAACTTTCTCCTTAGCTCTTCTTAGCTGTTCATCTCTTAGATTTGGAAGCAATTAAGAGGAGAACAGAAACAGCTTTCCCCAAAGAAGTGACATAATACTTGGGCCTACTTGGGCCGAGGCAACAGACCCTAACGGGTGAAGCTTCTAACTCTAATAGCTAAGACTAAGCTGACCAGAAGCGAAGGAAGAAAGGGTCTGGAAAGATGACAGACTTATTCTAATAAGTCACATCATATCAACAGTATGTACACTAACATGAATATAGAGGCACTGAACTGAGGGAACAAAGAGCATTACAATCTATGGAGCCCCATCAAATGTGAACAGTCAAGGACTTCTAGTAAGTTGGATTATAATAATGAATATTCAGAAAGCTATCAGAGTAGTAACCATGAAAAACTTAACATCAGGGCAGGAAGTGTCAGCTGGGACACTCCCTGTCATTACTTGTAATATTATCTTTCCCCACATGAATCACATAGTTGGGGCCCTAGTCTTTCTGTAACAGCCTGGTAGCTATGTTTATGAAGACCAGCATCAGGGCAGATTAGAGCTCAAACAAGATGGCACATAATAATACAGCACCAATATCAGGCAAATTCTGTAACACCAGCATTTCCGGTAATTAACTTTTCCTAGTGTATTAAAACAAAAGGAATCCTGTTTCAAATTTGACATACTAAGTTGGTCTATTGTGAAGGACATTCAATTTTTAAGATAGTTAAGTCTGTATGCTTTAAATAATAAGCAACTGTATTTCATAGAAAATTTCTTTTTAAACACTGTATCCTCATTGTAACAAGAACAATATTCTTGTTACTCTATGCCTTATCCCTTCTCATCACAGGGCCTTTCGGGATCCTTGTTGCTGAAACACTTTTCCTCTTGTTCTTCACCTGCAAAATTCCTACCCATCCTTTAAAGCCCAAATACGATGACATCTTTCAATAGCTCAAACTGTAAGGTAGTGAGCTATTCCACAAAGCTTTCCTTTTCCCCAGATCAGAAAGGATCTTGCATCTCTGAAAAAACCTTTTAGTTTTTGGAATATCCTTCATAAAAGAAACAAGCTAGTTTGTGTTAAACCATCTGCTTACCATCTTTGGTGCAGCTAAAATTTTCTCTAGATTTTGCATAAGCCACAAATGCACAGTCTAATTAATATGGAATAATATTTACTCATTACCAAATTAAGAAAGTAGTGAAGCACTTACATCTTACTTGCAGTGTCATAGAGAATGATTCTTTTATCCAGGCCTATGGTTACAAGCAGCATGTCATTGACGGGAGAAAAAGATATTCCTGAGGCTGGAGCTTTGTGGCTACATTCAAAGTTATGGTATGGACTCTGACTATTTGCATCCCAGAGAGTTACTACTCCATTATCAGACACACTGCCCAGGAGAGATTTCTTAAACAAGGAGTACTTCAACTGACGAACAGACTATTAAAAACAAAACAGAAAACATTTCATGGAAATGCAGGCACATGCAGCATTTTGTGAATGCAGATAAATATACATACGTACACAACGCGGCTACTGATCAACCAACAGGCAGATACTGGATGCCCATGGGGTGGGTAACTGACAGACAGTATTCTGGTTTCTAGAACAGGAGCTTTCAAGCATTCCCAGCAAATCTCACAGTTAATGGCTAAGTCCCAGATGCTGCCCTCAAGGAGCTTACAACTAACGGCAGACAAGAGGAAGGAAATACATTGTTACTAAGCACACAAAGTGGAATGTGTAAGTGATATACAAGAGATAAGAAGTATGATGTGAACGTACAGAACCACAGAATCTTGGGCTTGGAAAGGCACTTTGAAATCACGTAGTACAGCCATTCTGGGATTCCCCATTGCCTGCCAAATCACATTCAAAGGCATGGCCCCACTTCGGCTCTGTAACTCCCCCTCAGCTTAGTCCCCTCCAAGCACTCTATGCCCGATCCCTTCTCATCACAGGGCCTTTGGGGATCCTTGTTGCTGAAACACTTTTCCTCTTGTTCTTCACCTGCTAAATTTCTACCTATCCTTTAAAGTCCAAATACGATGATGTCTTTCAATAGCTCAAACTGTGAGGTAGTGAGCTCTTCCACAAAGCTTTCCTTTTCCCCAGGTCAATAACGACCACCCTCCCCTCAGAGTTCAGAAAGCACGTTCTTCACGATTTATTGTGGAATGAGATAGGGAAACAGCATGGGAGAACCACACATGGAGAGCCACACTCAGAGTCAGAAAGACTTGGGTTCAAATTCTGCCACTACCACTTACTAGAACTGTGCGATCATGGGCAAATCATTCTATCTCTTTAAGCCTCAGAGTTCTCACCTATAAACTGAGGATACCAATAACACGTTTACTTTGTTACAGCTGATCACTCCACCTCCCCTCCTGAGTTTCCACTCATGTACTGCTACCCTGTCCCATGGGCCCTGTCCTTTAAAAGAGATTAAGCAAAATCATGGAGGCTCTGCTTGAATATCTCCAGAAATGAAGACCTCATTATCTAACAAGATGCATGATAACATTTTTATATAACTCAAACTGTGAGGCAGGGAACTAAAAATGCTTGCCTCTAACTTCTCCCCTCTTGTCCTAATAGTGCTTTCTGGGGCCAAACAAAACAATTCCCTCTACTACATAACAGATCTTTCAAACATGTGAGTGCCATGACTGCATCCCTCAACCTGCCCAAGTCTCTCCTCTTTTCTACAACAAAGCTCTTTAGATCCTTGTGCTGGCTCTCACCAGCCTGGGCAGGCTCCTGCTTAACCAGCTCCTTTATAAAAGCTGACAGTCAGAACTGAAACCAGTTCCCCAGGTGGTCCAACCAGGATGGCAGTCACAGCTCCGATACAACCTCAGGGCACCTGCCTTTTTGGATGCCATGATGTCACCGTTATTCACTCACAAGGGACTTTTTGTTTTATTTTTTTAAAAAGTCTTTTTCATTGGAGCTACTACTCTCTAGACACGAGTCCTTCCACTGTACAACGGATTTTTTTTCCTCTTGAGTGCATCATTTTAATAACACTATTAAACTATTAAAGCCTCTCATTAGATATGGACCATTATTAAAGCCTGCTGAGATCATCAAGTCCTCCCAGCTTCCTAACACCCACAAAGAGAATAAACATGTCTTCCTCCAACTAAACAGAAGACCTAGGACCTAGGACAGCACCCCAGTGAGAGGCAGACTGCCACCTAGTGGTAAGGGTGCATTCTCAGAGTCAGGAGAAATCTAGGTCAAAAATCCACCTCTGGCCTTGGGTAACTCAATTAACTTCACTAAGCCTCAGTTTCTTCCTCTATAAAAATGTGAATCCTAATACCTGTTGCAACTACTTCACAGGGCTTTAGGAAGTCTTAAATAGGATAATACATGTCACAGGCTTTGCAAACATTTAAGTGTCAGATAAATGTCAGCTCTTATACTCCAGACTGTATCAAAGGTACCTAATTTTACCACCGTCTAGCCCAGGGGTAGGGAACCTGTGGCCTCCAGGCCACACGTGGTCCTCTAAGTCCTTGGGTGTGGTCTTTTGGCTGAACCCAAGTTTTAAAGAACAAATCCTTTTATTAAGGGGACTTGTTCTGTACAGTTTGGGCTGCACTTGAGGACCTAGACGGCCACACGTGGACTCGAGGACACAGGTTCCCCACCCCTGCTCTAGCCTATATATCTCTATCTTGTCCACAAGGATATCATAAGGATAAATACTTTTTTAAAGTTCATACATTAACCATTATTAGTATCTATTAAAAGCAAAATACTGCTAAACTTTGGAGGAAACAGAAAGAGAAATGAGATACAGTCCCTGCACTCAAGGAGTCTAAAAACCTCATAATAATACATGCTATTTATGCCAACTCCCCGATGGGTGATGACTCAGTGTAATCGGCCAATTCCTTTTCAATGCTAACAAACCATCGCTTTAATAATCCTCCAAGAATTTTGCCAGCTTCCCGGTCCACGGATCTGAATCCACCTAACTCCCCTTTTTGACAATCAGGGGGACATCTCCTGTTTTAAGTTCCATGATGATGTTCCTATTCTTCCTAATTCTTCACCGACTGCCAACTGAGGTTCAACAATCACATCCACAAGTTTTAGTGTGCCGGGACAGAATTCAGTGGGACAGCTAAATTGACTTTGTTCAGACCAATTGGGTGCCCTTGTATTAACTCCTCATTTGCCTCTGGTTTCAGTTCTCTCTTACCCATTTTTGCTCTATCCTTTTTCAGCCTAAAGGTCACACTCCTTGATAGAGAAAACAGAAACAAAGTAAGAGTTTAACATCTCTGCTTTCCCTTTCATTCACTGAAATTTTCATAGCTACTCATCAAGTTGTAGCTCCATTATCCCCTTATTTTTTTTGGGGGGGGGGCTAGGCAATGGGGTTAAGTGACTTGTCCAGGGTCACACAGCTATTGAGTGTTATGTGTCTGAGGCCAAATTTGAACTCAGGTCCTCCTGACTCCAATGCTGGTGCTCTATCCATTGTGCCATCTAGCTGCCCTGATTATCCCTTTTTTTAATCTTCCTCTGTCGGGCCCCTATAATATAGTTAAGGAAAATGCTGTTGGTTGTCCTGAGAATTTATGAAAGGCTTAGCCCAGAATGGGATTTAACCTCCCTAATGGCCATGTATTAATCCTCCTCCCTCAGCAGTCACACTCATCACTGCCTACCTGACCTTGCTTGTACTGTTAAAACATGAGTACAGACAGTTTACAGCACAAGCCCCAGAGGTTACAACTTGACCTTTTCCTCCTCATTGGGATCATATGTGATAATACTATCAACATACCGTTGTCTCCCAGTCCTCTTCTATGGCGTTTTTCTTTTAGTCTCCAGCCATGAGATCACACCAAACCATTTTTCAAACTTTCTGAAATCTCTTTTCTAAATTCTAAAGTACAGGCAACAACATTCATTCTACATTTACTGACCCTGAAGCACACACTACATGCTCTACACGTCCATGCTGAATGTTTCTTTTTTTTTCCTATCACAAATGCTAAGAGGACATGGCCTCTATTTCCCAGAGTTCCTGTCAACTCCTACAACTCCAACTACTTCCTCATTGTTTAGCACTAAATCCAGCAATAACTTTGCTTCTTGGTCCTTTTATCTTTCAAAAGCTGAATGAAGTAGCAAGAGAAGCAAAACTCCCACCAGACATCCCACCAGAAGGGCTCAAGTTTTGAAGACTGTGCCTAGTCTTTGTGCCATATGCCATACTGTCTTGACTTCCTATTATATAGTGTTACTTCCTATCATATCCTGAGAAAAAGAGTCTAATCCATTCATGTAAAGACTTGATAATATGGGCCTTGTGACTGGTAATAGAAGGCCACTTAATGAGATAAGCTTCATATACTCAAGAGGATAAGCTTTGGGTTTAGCACAGAGTACTGACACCCACCAAGAATCTATGGCCCCTCATTGGGGCCATATATTTCAACTGCTTCTCCATGTATGCTTTCAAAAGGTGCCAGAATTAACTGATTCCAGTCTTACTTTCTTCCTTCCCTTGTTTCCTAGCTGGAGACACAAACATGTCCTAAACTAGCTAGAAAGTAGACACCAAAGGGAGGCAGGCAAGTGGAGAAGGAGGACAAAACAGACTGCTCAACCAAAATGGGGTCAGATTTGTCTCACCAGACACACATCACACATGTCAAAAAAAAATTCAATATTGGCAGCCTAATAACATAGTTCTAAAGAAAAATTTCACTATTATAAATGCAAATCCAGACATCAACCAACCATCAGCCAAATAAGAACTCCCTCATTCTTGCTCCATGTAGTACCGCCAGTCACAGAGGCTTCAAGCAGAGATGTATTCACTTCACCCAAACTCCTCACCCTACTTCCTTGCCATTCTGGTTCTATACACTCTTAGGTGGAGAAAGAGAGGGCTACAAAGCAAGGGTTTGGGTCCATACTTAAAATCACTGGTCTGACAGTGGAGAGAACATGGGATTCAGGGTCACAAAGCCTGAGTTAACATCTCTGCTCAGATCCTTGCTATCTGTGTGACCCTAGGCAAATCATTCAGCCTCCAGAGGCCTTACTGAGTTCAAACACTTAAAAAAAAAAAGTAGAGAGAGAAGACTGGATTAGTTCAGCGGTTCTCAACCATGGGCCTGATTTTTCTTTAAACATATGCTGATAATAAAATTCTAATATATAATTGATCCCTATTATAATCTTATATAATTTGTTCTGCATTTAAAACTGTTAGGCTTTACCAGACTGACAAATGGGTCCATAAAATAAAAAAGGTTAAGGAACCCACGATCCATTCTAGCTCTAAGCACTGTGATTCTCTGATTCTAAGGACAGGCGATGGTAGAAGAATAAGCTCTTTAGGCCAGACTATGTCCTTCGCCATTCTTTTTAAACATGGCCTGAAAAGTCTTCTCTGATTTACC